CCCCAAAGCTGAGACTAATAGGAATTCTACAAAGAAGGGCTGATGCCCTGCCACACATTCCAGATTAGGACTCACTTCGCCAGACAGAAGGGGCTCATTTGTCAGTTGATTTCCAGACCAGGGACTTTCTTGCTTGAATGTAACGTGCTGGGTCCCCAGCTTCCTGTTCTCGACAACCACCTCTGGTTGCTGAGATGAGCCCAACGGAAGTCCATTTCTTGATGGGTGATGGTCTGACATTTCTGCACATCTCGTTAACTGCACCAATGCACCAAGAGTGGCCAGTTTTATCTTCATGATGGTCGAAGGTGCTCGAGATCATTGTAATGCGTTTATGCCCTCTATACACTCTGCTGTTGCGGTCATGATGTAACAGAGGTAAAGGTATGAAAAAGGGCAATGAAATGTTCTACGAGTTGTCTCTTTAAAACACACACCTTTTTTGTGAATTAAAACTCGCATTCTTTCCTGAGGCCAATAATCAAAGGGGCAGAAAACTGTTCTTTGCTCTTCGTTTTCTAGTATTTTAAACCACAAGAGGTGGCTGAACAGAATTGTCCGGACAAAGGTCACAAGATCTTCATCACTGGCTATAAGGTCAACTGAAACCACCAAATATAGTTAAACAGTAGCCTGAAGTCACAGCATGTGACACTGATCACTTAGAACTGAGCCCAACTACGGAAACCCCCACCCCCACCAAGGACGCCGTCCCCCAGCCTGAGGCTCCGCTGCACAGACGTGCCATATCAGTTCTGCCCTCCTGTCACTAACTCCTGTGCTCTCTGACATTGCTCTGTCACTGTTGTCTGCTGCTCTGTCTCCTTCAATGCACAGCCCCATTTTGGCCATGAAATCTAATAGGCACTGAGTGTCCTTTTTTTGTTTTAATTTTAAGTCCAGGGAGGGAAAATCACTTCCCCATGAGCTTCCTGTGTGTCTGCTGGGCCACCCGAACTCTCAGCTCAGTACCAGGAAATGGGGCTACCATCTGGTCTTGGTCAGGTGAAGAGAAAGAAAGGGGGTCTCCTGGACCACCCTAGTCCTTCTTCAGCAGCGGTTCTCAGAGTGTGGTCCCCAGCCCGGCAGCATCAGGATCACCTGGGAACTTGTTAGACAAGCAAATGCTGGCCGGTTGCAGCTGCTTGTGCCTGTAACCCTAGCACTCTTTGAGGCCGAGGTGGGAGGATTGCTTGAGCTCAGGAGTTTGAGACCAGCCTGAGCAAGAGCAAGACCCCCTTCTCTACTAAAAAAAAAAAAAAGAAAGAAATTAGCCGGACAACTAAAAATATACATAAAAAATTAGCCGGGCATGGTGGCGCATGCCTGTAGTCCCAGCTACTCAGGAGGCTGAGGCGGGAGGATCGCTTGAGCCCAGGAGTTTGAGGTTGCTGTGAGCTAGGCTGACGCCACGGCACTCACTCTAGCCCAGGCAACAGAGTGAGACTCTGTCTCAAAAAAAAAAAAAAAAAAAAAAAGAAAGTTTAAAAAGATATTAGAAAAAAACAAACTCCAGCTCCCATTTCCCTCTCTCCCCAGCCCCTGGCTAATTTTAACTTGATGATGTGCCGTAGGAGCTCAGGATGGGCTCTGTTACCTAAATTAAAATCCGATGTGGGGCCAGGCACGGTGGCTCACACCTGTAATCCTAGCACTCTGGGAGGCTGAGGCAGGCGATCGTTTGAGCTCAGGAGTTAGAGACCAGCCTGAGCAAGAGCGAGACCCGGACTCTACTATAAATAGAAAGAAATTAGTCAAACAACTAAAAATATATAGAAAAAATTAGCTGGGCATGGTGGCACATGCCTGTAGTCCCAGCTACTCGGGAGTTTGAGTCAGCAGGATCGCTTGAGCCCAGCAGTTTGAGGTTGCTGTGAGCTAGGCTGATGGCACGGCACTCTAGCCCAGGTGACAGAGTGAGACTCTGTCTCAAAAAAAATAAAGAGCCAGTCTCCCCAGGGTCAGCAAGACCCCAGATGCCACCGCAGCAGGAATACAGAGGATAGGAAAACAGTACTCGAGGCCGCAGAGGGGCCCTCCGGGGGATCACAGTCTAGGAGGAGAGGTAGAACGAGAGCGACGAAGCCCCTTATGTTGGCGTTCCCACAAAGTCATGCAGCACTCTGCAACTGGGATGTCAGAAGAGGTTTTCTAGGTGAGGGGGGTTTTGAAGGGCCAGAGGGAACTCGTGGCCTGATGGGTGGGAAATCCACAGCATCTACCCCGAGGAAACAGCAGGCAAGCAGGCAAAGAGAAGAATTATCAATGTCAGCTGTGAACCACATCGCTGAGCCCGAGGCAGAAACGGGAAGTGGCAGGGTTTTGGAGAGTGAGTTTAGCTGACTTAGCAAGCTGGTTGTGACCAGCAGGCAGGCAGGAAGGGCTGTGAGGGCAAAAGATAACACTAGAAAACTGTCGGGTATCTGCCACTGGACCCTAAATTTATGTCTGCAGCAGAGAATTTCTCCCTGAGCTCCATAACATATACCAGGTTCCCAGCCAGGTGGGGGTGGTGGTGGGGGGGTGATTTTGCCCCCTAAGGGACAGCTGGCAATGTCTGGAGACATTTTTGGTTGCCACGACTGGGGGATGGGGGTGCTACTGGTATCTAGTTGGTCGAGGCCAGGGACGCTGGTCAACATCTATGAGGCACAGAACAGCCCCCCACGGCAAAGGACGATCCGGCCCCGATGTCACTAGTGCCAAGATGGAGACACTCTGCTACATATGTGACTGTTTGTTTGACATTGCGACATGGGCTTCAAATAGGATTTTCAAACAATTGACAAAGAGTCATTCATCACCCCACCTGCTCTCCGTCAGGCTTGCCCATCTCAGCTGATGGAATCTCCGTTGTTAAAACTGCTCAGGGCCGGGTGCGGTGGCTCACGCCTGCAATCCTAGCTCTCTGGGAGGCCGAGGAGGGCGGATTGCTCGAGGTCAGGAGTTCGAAACCAACCTGAACAAGAGCGAGACCCGGTCTCTACTATAACTAGAAAGAAATTAATTGGGCAACTAATATATATAGAAATATTAGCTGGGCCTGCTGGCGCATGCCTGTAGTCCCAGCTACTCGGGAGGGAGGCTGAGGCAGGAGGATCGCTTGAGCCCAGGAGTTTGAGGTTGCTGTGAGCTAGGCTGACACCACTGCACTCACTCTAGCCTGGGCAACAAAGTGAGACTCTGTCCCCAAAAAAAAACCCCAAAACTGCTCAGCGTAGAAACACAGGAGTCTTTTTGGATATTTCTTTTTTCCACATTCTTCTCTTCTTCCCACATTATTCCCCAGGAAGTCACAGTTTTCTTTTTCTTTGGATTCAGTTCAGTTATGCAGAAAACGAATCATAATCCTTTCATAATTCAGTCTTAGCACATGGCCCCTTTTTATTATGTCTGGTGTTAGCTGATTATTTATATAGTTTTATTAATGGAATAAGCAACCGTCAGCCCAATGCTCAGCACAAAATCTAGGCCTCAGCTCTTTGGTTCTTCTCCCCCCAACGTGAGGAAACCAAAACTCTGAGTCTATGTTTATCACTGACTTGATTTTCCTTTCATGTTGTCTGAGAACATCTGTATGGACTCCACCACATGCACATTTTTGAGCACCCTTCACTTTATAAATGGGGCATTGTGTGGGTCATTATTCTCTGTGTCTTAGGATTTTCACTTAATCTTCCTTTGTCAAGCCCTGTTCTGTTGTTGAACATTGTTGAAGCTCATTCACACTGACTGAGAAAACTATGGCCCCTGGCCCGGACCCATTCCACTGCCTGTTTTTGTACAACCTTTGAGCTAAGTATAGTTTCCACATTTTTTTTTTTTTTGAGACAGAGTCTCACTCTGTTGCCCAGGCTAGAGTGAGTGCCGTGGCGTCAGCCTAGCTCACAGCAACCTCAAACTCCTGGGCTCAAGCGATCCTCCTGCCTCAGCCTCCCGAGTAGCTGGGACTACAGGCATGTGCCACCATGCCAGGCTAATTTTTTCTATATATATATTAGTTGGTCGATTCATTTCTTCCTATTTATAGTAGAGACGAGGTCTCGCTCTTGCTCAGGCTGGTTTTGAACTCCTGACCTCGAGCAAACCGCCCGCCTCGGCCTCCCAACATTCTGTTGGTATTTATTAGTTTCAATCCCAGACACCGCACTTTTTTTTTTTTTTAATTTTTTTTTTTATTTTGGCATATTATAGGGGTACAGAGTTTAAGGTTTCAATAAATGCCCATTTCCCCCCCTCCCCCCAAAAGTCTGAGTCTCCATCATGACCATCCCCCAGATGGTGCACATCTCACTCATTATGTATGTATATACCCGCCCCCCTCCCCAATACCCTATTACTATAGCACCTATGTGTCCACTTAGGTGCTACTCAGTTAATACCAGTTTGCTGGAGAATATATCTGGTGCTTGTTTTTGGAATTGATTTTTTTTTTTTTTTTTTTTTTTTTTTTTTTTTTCATTCTGAGGTACATTCTGAATGGAATTGATTTTTTTTAAGGAGTGCCCTGCTAGGGCTTTTCCTTCACAATGAACTGTGAGTTCCGTCAAAGAATGAGCAGGACAAAGAATGGAACTTAATCATGGGGCAGTAAGACAAGTCACATGATGACATTGCTCTGAGGAGGTGGCTTTTTGAGGATTTCCAAGCTTCGGTGCCTCTCTGGTGCAAGGCTGGTGGTTTTCCTGGAATGGTGGTTTCGAAGCTATTTTTCAAAGCAGGTGCAGCACTGGGGAGACGGTGCCAGGAGCAGGCCAAGTTAAAATGCCACAAACCCCACTGTTATTATGGAGGCTCACAATTTTTTCTTAAATAAATGCTGCTCAGAATATTGTAAACTTTTGGTTAATTTCTGGAGTTATAACAAAAGTTGACAATATTTATGTCACTTTTATGGCAGGATGGATTTACAGAAGCCCTAACTTTTCTTAAAGTCCCACCTCATCACTGCATTTATTTTTACACAGTAATCTCAGAGGACAAAATTTATTTCTCTTACAGGTAAATACCCTAAATTTTATAATGATTAAATGGCTTCCCATGGGTTATAGTTGTAGTTGGTACATAAGCTGTTATTGTTTATCAATATGCAATATTGCATCTAATCTGCTCTAATGAACCGTTAAAAATTCTAATATGCCCCCAAGTTATTTCTACCCAACCTCACCTCTATGCTTCCAGCAAATATTTCAAAGGAAAAATGCAATCAGAAAGCATCAGGATAATGCTAACAGTTTGGGGTTTACTTGGGAGTATGCGTGCCTTCCGAGTGAAGCTGAAAGCCACCACGTGGCTAAGTCAATGTCATCCAAATCTATTATCATCTGTGTCTTGGGCGTATGTCTGTCATGTTCTAGACGTCCATACATCCTCGCTTGAAAAAGTGAATAAGCAGATTCTTTGAGAAAAGAAACTCCCTTGCGAATGGGGCCACTAGTAATTTGGGATTTTTTTTTTCACTATCTAAAAACAGAAACTTGGTACCCGAGGATCTCGAATCATCAGTATCAGGGGGCTGAGGGTGGGATAACAGGATGTCAGCAAGGTGGTAGTGTGTTGCAGCCAGAGGGGAGATTTGAAATAAACAGTACTATAAATTGTAAGGATAGAATCGACGAAGTAAAAGAAAATGAAGGTGCTTGCCAGAAGCAGAATGGTTTGAGTGGCTTTGGCCTCCGGGGAGAATCTGTGGGAGTTGCTGAGGGTGTGAATATGCCTCACTCTCCGGTGGTGTCTGAGCAGGAGAAGTACCATGTAGACACTGGCCCAGGCCATGAGCCCCATGAACACAATATCCGGGAAAGTCATTAGAGTTGTATATTTCACAGCAGAAGATGTTCCAGGAGTTTTAGAAGAGCACAGTCCGTAATTCCGTGCCTCAGTAGAATTGTGGATGTGCTGAAGGGCCTCTATGTGTACAGGAACAAAGATGTTCATCAGCAGGTTGGAGACCCAGCACAAGAAGCAGGAGAAACCGTTGTTCTTCAAAGCTCGGTCTTTGAGCTTCATCCACCGGCCAGTTCCAGGGCTGATGGTCATGGCCTGAAAACTGCTCAGGTGACAAGTGGTGCAGAGAGAAAGGCCCCGGGCCATTCTGTGGATGTAATAGACAAGTTTACACCCAGTTTTTCCCAGGATGTGTGTCACTCCCCAGATTAATGTCATCTGAGGGATCCCCTTGAAGAGAAGAACCAAGAAGTTGGCCACAGCTAGGTTGCTGAGAATCAGGTGAGTGGGCCGCAGCGCCTGGCCAGTGCAGGATGTGGAGGCATAGGTTAAGAGAAGAAAGGTGTTCCCCAGGACCCCGATCCCAGTCTGGACCATGAAAAGAAGCTTCAGGATCAGATCACCAAGAGTCATTCTCATGAGCTCATGTAAGAAGTTGTCCAGAAAAGAGTCTGACGGTCACAGAGTTAGAACTCAGAGTAATAGCACCAGTCACAGATTTGCTCCAGTATTCCTGGTCCTAATAGGAAGGTCTGGTCCTCTCTAACTCGTCTTTCTAAGGACAGCAGTTACATTTATGGGGAGGGGACTCCACACCAGTGAGCTCAGAACTGCCACTCAGAGCAGCCAGCCTGGCATGTTTCTTTTTATACTCATTCAGCCATGCGAGATGGTTTGTTATTTAGTGCATTTCCCAAATCTCTCAATGTGCATGCCCAGGAGATAATCCACACAGTAAGGCTTTTATATGTCATGTCAAAAAGTTTTCTGAAGCATCCACTATACGTAGAGTAGGTTTTCAGTCCTTGGATATACAAAGATTAATTGACCTAGGTCATTGTTCCTAAGGGCTCAGAGCCTAGAATGGGAGACACAAATATAAAATATGTTAACAATAAAATAAAAAGCATGCCATGAGGAAAGGATATACATGGTATTGTGGAAACATGTATCAAGGATTGTAGCCGTTGGTGACTCTATCGTAATATATAGAAATTTTATTATTTTTATTAACTTAGTAAATTTTTCTCCCCAATTATTTAGTTAATATATGTATATAACAAGTAACACAATAATACAAAGACATATAGAGAAAAGAGTTAATCTATATCCTATCTCTCATTTATAATCCTCTTCTCTGAGATAGCTGTGCATCTCAAGTGCCCATTCTTCCATAATTATCTTAATGTTCTTACAAAATGTATGTGTTTAAGCAATCAGTTGTACATACAGGATTAAATTTGGTGCTTATATTTAGAAACTTAAAGCGTTCTTCCTCATAACTCTTGGGTCAAAGAAAAAAATTATACTGGAAACATGGCATTAAAAAGATAATATACCATGATCATGTATCAGGAACAGTTAATATTATAAAATCTATGAATAAAGTTCACTATGTTGATATTAAGAAAATTCATATGACTATCTCCAGTAATGCTAAAAAAAACTTTGACAAAAATCAACACATGAATTTTTTAAGAAAACACTCAAAGATATAGGAGTGTATGGATATTTCCTGTATTTCCTACCTATAATCTGTAAACTCCTACTTCCAGATGTCCCACCTTTTGTGGACAAACGAATGTATATCTTCCATATATTGATTTATGATTTTACCTGTAATTCCTGTCTTCCTGAAATGCATAAAACTAACCTGTAACCCAACTGCCCTGGGACCACTTACTCAAGGCTTCTTGGGTTTATGGCTCTCTGGGCTGTGATCACTCATATTGGTTCAGAATAAACCTCTTTAAATAATTTTAGAGTTTCATTTTTCCATTAATACTTACATTATCCATTTTCTATAAAGAATATTGCAAAGGATACAGGTGAACAGCCAGATGGATGGAAAAGGTGTGCAGAGCGAAGGAAGGAAGAAGAGGCGAGGAGCTTCCTGCCCTGCTTGGGTGCCACCTCTGGGTGCCAGCTCTGGAAGCCCTCAGAGCTCGGTCATTTGGGGGTTTTATGGAGGCTTCACTACTGGGCATGACTGATGACATCATTGCCATGGCGACCAGCACCACCTTTTCCCCTTCCAGGAGGAAGCTGGGAACTGGAGCCTCAAGCCAGGGTCTAATCCTGGGTTGGTTTTCTGCTAACCAGCCCCATCCAGAAGCCGGCTAGGGGCCTCCTTAGCATACTAAAGATATCACTCTGGGCTGGTGCAGTGGCTCAGCCTGTAATCCTAGCACTCTGGGAGGCCAGGGCGGGCGGATTGCTGAGGTCAGGAGTTCAAAACCAGCCTGAGCAAGAGCAAGACCTCATCTCTACTATAAATAGAAAGAAATTAATTGGCCAACTAATATATATAGAAAAAATTAGCTGGGCGTGGTGGCACATGCCTGTAGTCCCAGCCCCTTGGGAGGCTGAGGCAGGAGGATTGCTTGAGCCCAGGAGATTGAGGTTGCTGTGAGCTAGGCTGACGCCACGGCACTCACTCTAGCCTGGCCAACAAAGCAAGACTCTGTCTCAAAAAAAAAAAAAAAAAAAAAGATATTATTACTCTGGAGATTCCAAGGGTTTTGGAGTTATATGCCAGGAAATGGGGAAAAGGCCAAATATATATACAGTTACACCTGGAAAAATAGTAGTTTAGAGTGGGATAACAGCAGACACCATCTTCTTCTTTTTTTTTGAAACAGAGTCTCACTCTGCTGCCCAGGCTAGAGTGCTGTGGCATCAGCCTAGCCCACAGCAACCTCAAACTCCTGGGCTCAGCCCCCTGAGTAGTTGCGACTGCAGGCATGCGCCACCATGCTTGGCTAATGTTTTAAAAAAATTTTTTTATAGAGATGGGGTCTCACTTTGTTGCCCAGGCTGGTGTTGAACTCCTGGCCTCAAGCAACTCTTCCACCTTGGCCTCCCAAAGCGCAATATAACAGTGCCATGCCCGGTCTGTTTATGTGTTATATATTGTATTCTTACAATGAAGTAAGCAGAGAAAAGAAAATGTTATTGAGAAAATCATTAGGAAGAGGAACTATCCTTACCACTCATTAAGTGGAAGTCGGTCACCATAAGGGTCTTCATCCTCATTGTCATCACACTGAGTAGGGTGAGAAGGAGGAAGAGGAGGCGTTGGTCCTGCTGCTCAGGGTGGCACAGGCAGAGGAGGCAGAGGAGGTGGAGGGGAGGCAGGAGAAACAGACACACTCAATGTCATTTTTATTGAAAACACCTGCGAGTAAGTGTCCCCAAGGAGCTCACACCTGTGTTATTCAAGGGCCAACAGTAACTACTACATATCTGGCGCAGGAAGTCTCTTTTGAGTCTTGTTTTCTTTTCAAATTATGTATCAATTCCCTCATTTATTTCCTCTAAGTGAATGATAGGATCAGTTTAAGTTTTGGTTGAAATTTCTCTAACTTCACAGATTAATTTGAGAACAACCAACATCTTTATAATAATGTGGGATATATTTCCTAATTATTTTCCTTTCTTTTCTGCCCTTCTGTAAATGTTTTTTCTTTGCTTTCATATTGCACATTTCTTTTAAATTTATTTCTTTTTTTTTTTGCTATTCTTTGCAGTATTGATTTGTTTCTTATTTTCTATTTTTTCTTGCTCATAAGCAAGCTAATGATTACCGTCTCATCTCTCTAACTGAACAATCATATTACTGTTCATAATTTTTCCATTGATTCTTTTGGATTGTCCACCAATGCAATTATTTTATCAGTCAGTAGTGACAAAGTTGAATCTTTTTTCACATTTATACCTAGTGATACCCTTACTTCCCTCCCATGCAGTGGTTGCCTGATTGTTTAAAACTTGCATCGTATCACATTCCCCTCCTGGATAAGTTCTGACTGGGTTCCCTTTGTATTCAGTATAAAAAGCATAATCTTTTTGTTTAGCAAATATCAATTCTTTCTAATTTGATCTTAAGGTGTTTCCCTGGACAGTGGCTGTAGGTTCTAGCCCTGACTAGGGAAGACGAGGTTTGGGTGTGGTGGTCACGTGGGACACAGGGGGCAGCACAGCAAAACACATGGAACCACAGCAGCGGTTTATTACTTACGGGTCCCAGAGAGAAGACAAGAGGGCAGGCAGTGCCGCTCACAGGGGCACGTGCACTCATCTAGGAGAGAGAGAGAGAGAGAGAGAGAGAGAGAGAGAGAGAGAGAGCGCAGTGGGGTGCAGGGTGTTACCCAAGCAGGTTTCCTAAAGGAATTCTTTTTTTTTTTGAAACAGAGTCTCACTCTGTTGCCCAGGCTAGAGTGAGTGCCGTGGCATCAGCCTAGCTCACAGCAACCTCAAACTCCTGGGCTCAAGTGATCCTCCTGCCTCAGCCTCCCGAGTAGCTGGGACTACAGGCATGCACCACCATGCCCGGCTGATTTTTCTATGTATTTTTAGTGGCCCGGCTAATTTATTTCTATTATTTTCTTAGTAGAGACGGGGGTCTCGTCCTTGCTCAGGCTGGTCTCGAACTCCTGAGCACAAGAGTTCCCGCCTCCGCTTCCCAGAGTGCTGGGATTACAGGCGTGAGCCACCGCGCCCGGCCCCTAAGGGAATTCTAATTGGTGAGTTTAAGGCAAGCAGACAGCAGCAGTCCCACGGGGTCACGCTGGGGCATATCCGTGCAGTCCCTGTGGGGCTCAGGGAACAAGAGGGACAAGCCGAGAATAACAGCTTGTCTCTCGCTGTCCCATGGGAAGCTGGGGGAGGCGGTGGCGTAAGGCAGTGCCTGGATTGACAACAATGACAAGCTGGGAGCTGGTGACCCCAAAGCTGTGTCCGGGGTGACTGAGCCTGCTGCTGGCACGACAAAGTCCAGCCTATGCTCACAATGGACGCGGAGGCAGCATAACACCACGAGGACACACCCCGCCTTCGCAAAGCCCTGTGGCCCCAGCGTCCCTTCCACTGCTCCCCTCCTCACCCAAGACACGCCATAAACACTCGTCACACACTCGTCCTCGTGACAGCTTGCATTGCAAGCTCGTTCCTTCCCCAGGCACTTCGAACCTTCTCTCCCTTTTGTCTGCAACGTTTCCCCCAGTCTGCGTGGCAGCATTCCTTCCAGTCACTGGTTTGGCCTCAGCCTAATGTCGCTCCATCCGCAAAGCCATCTCTGACCCTCCACTGGGAGCAAAAACCCTTTAGCATTCATTCGGGTCTCTTTCTGTAACTTATGAGAGATTCTGTAGTTCATTTGTGGTTCACTCCTGGAGCTTAGATTCAGTGCCAGCAGGAGGCACGCTGGTTCTGCTGTCTCTGCCTGCCCAGCACGCACAGGACACGGCAAGGAAACGATTGGGGAATGGTTGTAATTGAGTGAAGTTCACGGGTACCTTTCCCACCCCCCCCCACGGCTTCCCTGCAGCTATTGCTAATATTTTGGGAGACATCACATCTACGCATCACCCACTGGAGGTGATAAGATATGTGACTATGAATTCATGACATGGGTTTTTACACACACACACACACACACACACACACACACACACACATACCCTAAGGGCTTACAATAACCCTGGAGGTGAATTTAATACCACCTTTACCAACAAGCAAGAATGTTTTTGGAAAATAGTAAAAAATCTGCTCATCCCATTCTAATGTGAGCACAGCACACCTGGGAACAAAGCGACTCCCATGGAATGACTGGATCTTGCAACAATTTGTGCGACGTTGTTTGAATACCGAGAGACTCCAGGCACTACCTGTCTTAGTCTGGGCTGCCGTCACTGAGTCCGTAGACCGGGTGGCTCACAAACAATAGAGAGTTCCTTGTCACAGGTCTGGAGTGTGCAAGTCCGAGATCAGGTGCCAGCCGCCCTCCTCCAGCCTGCAGCCTATCCGACCCCCCCACCCCGCACGCCCTCACACGGTGGGGAGAAGGTGAGAGAGCTCCCTGGGGCCCCTTTAAAGGACACTGATCCAGGCCGTGCATGGTGGCTCACGCCTGTAATCCTAGCACTCTGGGAAGCCAAGGTGGGCGGGTTGCTCCAGGTCAGGAGTTCGAAACCAGCTTGAGCAAGAGTGAGACCTCGTCTCTACTATAAATAGAAAGAAATTAATTGGCCAACTAATATATATAGAAAAAATTAGCCAGGCATGGTGGCACATGCCTGTGGAACCGTTCCCACCTACGTGGCCTGCCCCCCACGGCTTCCCTGCATCTATTTCTGCGTAACCTATTTTGGGACGACACTCACATCTAGCATCACCGTTCACTGGAGGTGGATAAGATATGTGGACCTATGAAATTCCAATGGACATGGGTTTTTAACACACATTGTTCGCCACCACACACTTGCAACACGACACCAGGCCAGGGCGACACAGCACACCCTAAAGGGCTCTACAATAACCCTGGAGGTGAACGTTTAATCACCAACCTTTTACCCCAACAAGCAACGAAGTGTTTTGTGGAAAATAGTAAAAAATCTTGCTCATCCCATTCGTATTGTTGAGCCACAGCACACCTTGGGAACAAAGCGCGACCTCACATGGACCATGACTGCGATCTTGGCAACGAAGAGTGTTGCTGCGACGTTTGTTTGTAAATTACGGCCTGATGATGATCTCTCTAGCACTGACCTGTCCTTAGTCCGGGGGCGCCGTCCACTGAGTCCGTAGTACGGGTGGGCTACAAAACGAATGAGAGAGTCTCTTCGTCACAGGCCCTGGAGTGTGCAAGTCCGAGATCAGCGCGAGCCGCCCTCCTCCAGGCTGAGCCTATCTGACCCCCCCGACCCGCCTGCAACGCCCCTCACCACCGGTGGAGGTGAGAGAGCTACCTGGGGGCCTTTAAAGGACAGCTGGATCCAGGCCGGGCATCCGGTCCTCACGCCTTATTTCTAGCATCCTGTTCGTGGGATAATTCCAAATCGGTTCCGCGGCGCGTCTGGTCTCGTTCGTCAGGGCTCATTGTTGTTTTTTTTTCTCTTGCACGAGTCGTCGGACAACCTTTAGCTTGATGCAAGAGGATCTGCAGACCCTCGTCTTTCATAGCTATAAAATAGCGGAAGAGGAAAACTAATTGGCCAACTAGAACAATATGATATCCCGGGAAAGAAATTCACGCCGGGGCGCGCATCTGGGTGCACATGCCTGTGGTACCCAAGCTACTCGGGAGCTGAAGGCCAGGAGGTGCCTGAGGCCAGGGAAGTTTGATTGTGGATTTACGTGCGAATGGGATACTCTAGCTGGAGCAAAGCAAGACTTGTCTCAAAACACATAGAATCTAACGGTAAAATATTAATAAAATAAGGACACTGATTGGGGCTTCCACACAGCAAGTCGCCACTCAGCCTCCTACACTGCGTCTCGTGGGGGTGAGAACGAGCAGGATGGGGAGGACACAGACCTTCCAGTGGCCGCACTGACATAAAGGGGCACGTTGTCCAGGGGTAGGAAGCTGCCGCGACAGAAGGTACAGCGACTGGCCAGAGAGGAAGAGGGCGAGTCAGACCCACCTGCACCTCAGCGCGACCCCCACCACACCCGTGCCCTGGTGATCCTTCACGTTTCCTCCTGACAGCCGCCCCCAGCCCTCGGCGTGCTGGGACTCGCCGCCTGCTCGTCTGTCACGGAGGCACTCCCCTGCCGTCGGGTGACGACGTGGGCTCCCCAAAGAGCACTGAGACTTAAACACAGCCCTGCTTGGCGGCGCTGGTGGCTCGACGTCTCTCATCCTCAGCAACTCCTGGGAGGCCGAGGCGGGAGAGATCGCCTGAGGTCAGGACAGTTCGAAGACCACAGCCTGAGCAACCGACGCACCCATCTCTACTAAGAAATTAATCCGGGCATGGGTGGCCGCATGCCTGTAGTCCAGCATACTCTGTAGGCTGAGACAGCCCCGATCGCTTTCTGAAGCCACAGGTTGGACGGTTGCAGTGATCGAAGTGACACCACTGCCACTCTACCACAGGGGCGGTGACAAGAGCGTAAACCCTGCTCATCAAAAAAAAAAAAAAAAAAAAGAACAGCATTGCCAAGACCCTGAAAAAAGCAAAACAAAACAAAACTCCTCTCAACGACTGCCTTCAGCCGACAATGCCACTCCCATTTCTTCCCAGCACGAGGGGTACTGCCAGGGCCAGGGACTCTAGGACATTAGGGGCTCCCAGCTCGGTCACGGATCAAGTCAGGGCTGGGTGACTCAGCGTTTCCTTCCGAGTCAGACCTTGCACAGGTGATCCGTGGGTCTGATCCACCAGCTCCAAATCCCACACGGATCTCCAGCGCTCACAGGGAACAGCCACTGTCACCTGTGAAACCAGAAAAACAATGACACAAACAGTGAAAACTGCCTGAGAGTTGACTCCGCGCCAGGCACTGCTCTAGGGGCTTAAATACACTGATTCGTTTAATTCCCTAGTAGCCCAGTGAGCTAAATATGGGTGACTGTCACTCCCGTGTGGCAGATGATGACAGTGGGACAGGGACGCACACGGTCCCAGTGTTTCTCCCGCAGAGTGGCACACAGAGCGAGCCAGTGAGATGTGGAGGCGGACCCAGAGACCGGGGAGCTGCGGGGCCGCCCTTGACCGGCGCCTGTCCCTGCTACACGGAGGACACGTGTCTGCAGGGACCCGCCGAAGCTGGCGGGCTAGCTCTTCCCCCACCTGTGGGGTTTCTCTTTGTGAAAACAATGTTTAAGCCGATGGCAGGAACAATCACAAGGCAGACACCAACAAACAACGGCCATGGCGCAGTGGCTCCACGCCTGTAATCCTAGCACTCTGGGAGGCCAAGGCGACAGGATTGCCTCAAGGTCAGGAGTTACGAAAGCAGCCTGAGTCAAAGAAGCAAGACCCCATCTCTACGATAAAATACGGAACGAAATTAAATTTGGCCACTAAAAAACATATCATATATATAGTATATACTAAAATTCAGCTGGCCATGGGTGGGACATGCTGTTAGTCCCAGCTACTGCTGAGGCTTGAGTCAGGAGGATCACTGAGCCCAGGAGTTTTGGAGGTGTGCTGTGCCGAGCTAAGGCTGAATGCCAGACGGCAACTCCTCTAGCCTGGGCAACAAAGCGAGACTCTGTTCCAAAAAAAAAAAAAAAAAAAAAAACCAAACAAAACCCCAAAAAACTTGAGCATTGCAAGTACCACAGAGATCAACTGCAGTTAGAAATAAATATGAAAATGGGAATGGAACAGGACTGTGAAGGGCAGGCAGACGCTGGTGTCAGGCAAGTCCAGGACTGAAAACGCTCCTGGATGCCAAAAGGGCTGGAAAAAATCCCC